CCCCCCCCCCCCCCACCCCCCGATAAATCGTGCACCGACTGACCCAAACGGTAGGATCAATCGCGTTACACGGAAGAGTATTCCAATGAGACCCCACCAGTGCACAATATCCTCTCTATGTATTAATCCTACGTCACTCGCGTGAAAAACGTTGCTGCACTCGTCGCGAACACCCGCGTACTAGTGCCGATAAAAAAAATCACAATTCTGCCACCAAGTCCATGATTTTACTTCCTTCGATTCTCTCAAATTCCCTTCGGCCTACACGTTGCACATTTATGTAATACACAGTGGAGATTGAAAAGCGAATTAATGCCCCCCTGAATGATACGTAATCCCCAACAACTCTGTCACTTCCGTCTGCCCGAATCACGACAAAACTCCTTGACAGCTCTTTGGAAAAAAAAAACAAATCCACCCTTATTTTCACTCAACTCGAGCTGCAATAATTCATATCGTGTTACACCTTCAGTCGAATGTTTAGTAAGCACCACGTATCGCAATGCGATAGGCCCCTCCCCACTATGCACTCCACGTTTGATTTCTTCCTCGTAAATAGCCCGCGGTTTTCAGTGATAAAAACCCCTCAGCTCCGAGTCTGTGATACTGCGATCAATTTCCACTGGTCAATGTCAACCCTCCGGTAAAATAACTAGAGTGAATTACACCGTGGAAAAACAGTTGTTGAGAGTGTTCGATGATCGAACATTTCTCGATGAGTGAAAAATAATAAAAACGTGGGGCCTACGCGTGGTGGTATAATGTTAATGTCGTGCGTTTGAGGTGCCGAGTTTTTGAACACTGGTATGTGCTGGCCCGTACCGGCCTGTGTGTGTCTCCACGTAGACCGGTGCGCACAACTTAGCCTCCGTTAGTTCCCTGCTGTTAACGTAACCCCCCGCTTCTGATGGATTTCTCGTCCTGTACCGCTGGTTACTCCCGCTGTAGATTTTTCGCTGCGCCGTCGCCGTCGTTATAACCCCACAGTATCATCCACTGGTACCACGCACGCGCCCCGTTGCTCTCAACAACCCCCGGGGTATAGAACTCAGCTTGCGCCATCCACCGACGAGTGTTCGCGTTTTGTTCAAATTTCTCGGCAACTGAATTTTTTATTTCGCCGTTTTGGGGAGTTTTTTTTCCTTAGGCGAGGCGCGGGAAATTTTCCGGCGTTTTCATTCTCGACGATCGGCTTTTTCTCGATGCTTCATGACTATCGGGTCGACTACGACCGACTTACGTACGCGAGACACGACTCGGTCGCACTAAACCGTTGCGTAATCGTCGTGATAAGAGCCCGAAGGCTGACGAGCACACGCGCCTATATAAAACCGTCGACAATACGATCCGCTACTCAAGTCACAGTGTCGTATTAATATACATGTATGTATCTGCGCTCCGGGGACGTGTGAGGGGGGAGAAAAAAAGGGATGTGAGAGGCAGGGTCATCGGTACCGTGCCGCTAATGTATTCGATGTCCACCTATGCAACTCCGTCTCTGTTGGGGCTTTTTTGCACTTTTTTTTCTCGCTCTTCTCTCTTTTTACTGGCCTACGGTTTACTATGTCTACCGCCACCTCGACCTACATATTGATCGTTCGGGTAAACGCACACTGGGCTAAAATTGGAGCAGTTAATGCACAATCGACGTATGAGTGACACAATAGGAATTTAATGGATTATACGCGGTTGATTATCATAACGATTAGAATGAGTTTTTTAATTGAATCATCCGGGATTCAGGTCACAGGTGGGTAATTGTGTTTTGATATGATTATTTGTAGGTGGCAAGGGGGGTTGGGGGGGGGGGCTTTTAGGGTTTTTGCTTCCGAATGGAAGCTTTGCAATCGTTCAAATTTAATTTTCGGGGGTTTTGGGTCAGCTCGACCCAGGGTAATCCAACAAGTCCGAAAATGGAATTTTTAGACTTCGTCCGTATGTAACAACGTTTTTCTTCAATTCAGTAGCGAAGTGGTAAATCGGTTTAAGTCGACTCATCTCCCAATTGAGTTTTTCAGAAATATTTCCGAATCTAACGAAGATAGCGAAATTTTCGTGATTACATTTGTTGTAGCTCTCAATTGGCTCTACAAAAAAAGTTATAACAAAAATTTTGCTATCTCCCTTAGATTCCGAGATATTTATTGAAAACTGGTCAATAGTCAAAATTGACTTATACCGTTTTACCACTTCGCTACTGAATGGTTCGCTAGTGAATGAATGGAATTGAATCTTTTTTCAAATGTAGGTATTGTTGAGCCCCATCGATCGCCATTAATTAAAATTTAATTCATCGATTAGTTTTTTTAATTTTCGAATTTTTTCGAAAATCGGTTGTCCCACGATAATTAAAAATTTTTTCTGAATTGATTGAATGATGGCTTAAAATTTGTTTGGATGCCCCTTTGACCGAGTGCGAAAATGAAGGCGATAGCAATAAATGTTATTTTAATTTATTTGAAAATTTGCAAAAATTTTGTATTTTTTGAAAATCAGAATTCCGGGGATATCTTTGAATATCATGCTTCAAATGAATTCAATCATAGCTTAAAATGTTTGTTTTAATGCCATTAAGTCAAAGTTAAAAGATGATTACGATAGCTATATTAGTTGATTTAATTTTTATGATGATTGTTGAAAATTTCGAATTTTTCATGGATTTCCCTGAAAGTGAGCTTTCTGATGGTTTCTTCAAATGTGATGTTTCAAATTCATTCAAGTATGTATAAATAAAATTTTTCTATTAACATTTTATCGAAGGGCTGAGGGGAGAGATAGAACCGTAAAAAAGACAATCGGTTGTATAGAAAAAATGGATAATAAGAATAATGATGATAATAACATTCAACTGAGTTGAAAATCTGACAAAATTAGTTTTGAAAAATCTTATTCAATTCAATAAAATTAAATAAACAATGAATTATACATGATAGAAGGAAATTATGTGCAAAGTAACCATTCGGAAGCATATTGCTAATTTATTAGCAAAAATAACCACTCCCACTTGTTTTAATGTCGTAATGTTGAAGTGGAATAAAAGCTCTAGGCATCGGGCCATCGTCTGACGGTTTCTGAACTCGGTAGGATTCATTCCTCTGGCGAATGCTGTACGAATTATTTTTCGCGATCGACTCGCTGCGGTTTTGTCGGGCGAGTCAATTCAATTAATCTGTTGTTCATCTCATCAATATAATTCCGCGCTTTGAATATTGTCACCTCCTGTTTTTTGTATTTGGATATTAATATTATTTGTTCAAAGTGAAAAAATCGATAATCATTTTCACAATATTGCATTCAGATTCTCCTAATTCTAGCTATTAATTCTGATCAACTTTGTTCGAAGAAAACCTTAGTAAACGCAATATTAAGAAAGTAGAATTATTCTATTTTCCTCTGACCTAAATAATTTGGACATTTATGATTCGTTTATTCATGTTTCGTAAAATGGTATTCAATTCTCCTTTGTTTGATAGGCGGGCTTCATGAAAATTTGACGCAGGGCGATTGTACTCACGAAAACCGCCTTACTTCCTCCATTCGTTCGAGATACCGCCCATGCTTTTTTTCAGAAAGGAAACGAAGGATAATTTTTGCATCCATAAATCTATTTCTTTTTAAGAAACTAATTATAACACATCCTCCGCAAAGAGTATTTTTTATTGAATTACAATTTCTCTCCGCGATTGCCTTTCCTACAGTAAAATTTGCTCGATTTTCCGGGTAATTTTTATTGAAATTTTCTCTCCGCGTAACCGGAAATGATCAGCCTATTCAAACACCGAATATTTCAACTGTGTACAGCCCGAAATTGCCAGCTCAATCGATTGACAATGAGGCACTAGGACGATGTTATAGATTTCAACGCGTCTTGCTTCTTTCCAAATTCACACCTCTAGATAATATCGTAAACTCTAACGACGGTCAACACCCCATGACTTTCAAATTTCAACGAGGACTGCCCCTGAGGATGTTACGGCGAGGTCGCTCGGTAGAAAAATTGAAGTTGGACGTTATCTCGATTTCTCGTCTGCACGGAGAGAAATATTCAGTAAAAATTACGGAACTCACAATTCACTCACCGATTACAGAATCGACTCAGAAAATTCAAGTGATTGTATCGTCATTTTTCACAGGAGATTCAGGTAAATATTACGGAACGCTCTGGAAAAATTGCGTGACAGTTGCGTAAAATTTCCTACAACCACATTTCGCTCCGGAATTACGGAAAAGATACGTAATTTTTGTTGAATATTTCTCTCCGTGTGCTAACGTTGACCAAAATTCTGTGGCACGAATTTTGGTCATCACGATTCGATCCCAGGGTATCAATATAGCTATCAATATTCGTAGTTATTGATAACAATTTTCTAATTATTCTATAATTATTGAAATAATTCATGCAAGTTCCTCAAATGCTCTGATGTTCGACTACAAAAGGAGAAAAGCATTTCGCTGGAGAAAAAATAGCCAAAGTACTTGGCTATCTTTAATACACAATGATCTGAAAAAAAATATTCTTCTATCATCATGGCCGGGGCGGGGGAAACCCGTAATAAATTGCCACACGGCCTCAGAGTCATCCTAAATCATTCGGTTCCTAAACGCAAAGTCACCCTACAATCAGAGTCAACGTAACAGATTCGCATCTTCATTTAATGAACTTTTTCTGTAGAATCCAGCATTTCAATGGAATCACCCAAAAACTATCAAAAAGTTCAATAGAAATCCAATGCAATTCGCCCAGTTTTTCTCTAAAATGTTTTCATACATGTCCCGCAGTGCAAGTGATGGCACTTGAACTAAATATTACCTAAATACGCCAAATTTTATTCATGCAATAAAGAAATACCCTTTACCTTCAACCGTCTAGAAGGCTCTGAGAATTTACTCCGGTCACATTCAAAGGAGCACCCCGTAAAATAGCAAAATGCAGGCGACAAAAACCGGTAGTCGACTGTTTCACATTTCACTCAACTGCCTCAAGATGGCGTCAACGTCGACCAATGGCGCGGCGCCTCCGCGATCACGTGATAAACAGTTGTGCAAGTGTATTGTGAATGTCAGCTGCGCTACAGAGCGGGTTCAACAGATAAATACTTCGTTTTGGATAGCAAAAAATGACATTTTTTGACACAAGTCATGAGTAAAATAGTGATATAACGCGAGGCCTCGCATCGAGCGATGCGTGCAGTGGTGAATCGGCTGTGATTGCGGTGTTTTACATGTTTCTTATGAACTGCAACATAACCGTCATGCGGAGCGTGGTTACACACACATGTAGACGTGATATTTGAAATAATGTTGAGATTTTACCCTTTTGATTAATCAGTGGGCTTCGTGACACTGCGAATATGGAGGACTTTAATGAGGGAGTGGATGGTAAACTCGCGTCCAGAATGCGCAAAGTTAATCCTGAACAGTTCTTGACACTGGTGAAGATGCACCTGTCCTTCGAGCTCGACATTACCACTGACGAGTAAGTACCAAAAATTATTTTGATAGGGAAGGGGGGGGGGGCAGTTGATCTTTTTTAAATGTTCATGACGTCTTGAATTGTTCAGGAAATGGAGTAATTTTATTTTTCAGTTGAAAGAACAATTAGGGGAGGTTGGGGTAAAATGGACACTAGCCTTTTTTTAAAAATGTTAGTGACGGGTTGAAGTGTTGATGAAATTTAATTTTTTTTTTCAATACAAAGAACAATTCTTTCCCTTTGTGATGAGCCTAAACCGAACTCTATTGATACATTTGTTTCTGAGTTATGAATATTTAAAAAACAGTCAAAAGTGTCCATTTTACCCCGCCCATCCTTACTTATTTTTATTCCACAATTGACTATTTTGCAACACCTTTATTTGAAATTGGTCAATATCTTTTATATTTTGACTGTATTTTTCTACGGGGGATTTTATAGATAAATCAATAGAGGAAAGGTGAATTTCAATAAATCAATACTAAACATGAATTTTAAAATCCCATAGAACCTCGCGAATTCGCTAAACAATCGAATTCAATTGGATTTCTATTGAAATATTCAATGGAATTCGATTTTTGTAGGGGAGGGTGGGGTAAGACGGACACTGTAGACTTTTTTAAAATTATTCATAACTCAGAAACAAATTGATCAATTGAGCTCAGTTTAGGCTCGTGACAAAGGGAAAGTTCTGTTCCTTGTATTGAAGAAAAAACTATTAAATTGTATCAACAATTCAACCCCTCATTTAAAAAAAAAGTCAAAAGTGTCCGTTTTACCCCAACATCCCCTATACAACTTATTCTATTGAGATATTTTCTATGGAGTTTCCTCAGCTCAAATTTGCTAAGTGTTTTCGTTTAACTTTTTTTCCTCAAAAATTTCAAAAATTTTCCTAAAAAATCAAACAAAAAACCTAGAAAATGTCAGCCGCCGAGGACATTCTATAGAAAATATGTAATAGAATAAGTTGTATACAAAAATTGAATTCTGTTCACTTTGACACTTCAATAGAATCGGCCAAAAACAAATAGAAATCCAATAGAATTGTCTCGCTAATTCGCTAGGTTTTTCCATTAATTTTTTTCGCACGTGAAATCCATTATTCATTGTAAAATCTAGAAAGACCTCTTCCATAGCTGAGATAATTTCAAATAAAAATTGTTGACGTTTTCCCAAAATTCCTCAACGTCAAGAGAAATCAACAGTTGAGGGAACTTAACAGCAGCTACTTCGAAATTTCCACACCTTATGGCACTGGAATTAATCAAACATTGTTGCGTTTCCTGTTCAAGTAATGATCCCGTAACGGAAAAAACCAAGGATAAAAAGTGGGGATTCTTGAGTTTCTCCAAAAAACCAAAATCATTGATGAATTTGCAACAGAAAGGCGAAAGCACTGCCCTGACCAATGAGGGCATAAATCAAGTTAAACAGCTCATGGAATATCTGTCCAAAGAACAATGTAAGGATATACAATACATTACCAAAAAATAAATAAATAAAATAGTCCAGTTTTCTCTGGGTTTAGCCATTTTCTCAGGTATCTCTACACTTTATTTACAAGACAAAAATTGGCTTGGTCGATACCTTTTTTTCATAATTTATCTTTACTGAAAGATAAATGAATCGAAATTTCAACTTCCTTTTTTTATTCATATTTCTGTTTAAAAAAAAAAAATTGGAATAAAAAACGGAGAACAATCGACTGGAAAGAACATAGAAAATTATAATCATTTATTTTATGAAATAATATCTATTAGACATTTTCTGTCAGAAGAATCTGTCAAAAAAAATGGAATAGATTTTTCTATCGAATTTGTCATTTTTTCTGCACAATTTGTAAAATCATTGGTTATATTGAAAATAATCGACTCTACAGACTCTAAACTTAGTCATCAGAAATGTTAATTTCATCGTCAATCTAAATAAACTGCAGAGTTTTTCTCACACATGAAATAATTCGATTTTCGAAAAATGAGTGAATATCGTTAATTCCCTGGAATTAACCATTCAATCCACCAAATTCTCATAATTTTTCCAGGCATTGTCCAGGAGGGAATTTTCCGAAGAACCGGAAAATTGACCCGCCAACAGGACCTCAAAACGGCTCTGTACCAGGGCCACCCAATAGACCTGAATGATGGACCATACAGTGTTCACGATTGTGCCTCAGTCCTCAAGAGTTTCCTGGCTGAACTTCCAGAGCCACTGTTAACCGAGCTCCATTATCCAGCTCACTGTCAAATCGCTGAATTATGCAGTTCAGATTCGAGCTCCAACGAATCCCGACTCCTCGGATCTCTGCAATTACTTCTGCTACTTCTTCCCCCGACGAATCGAATTTTACTGAAGCATCTGTTGAAGCTTCTGCACAAGACAGCGAGTTTCGAGAGCAGCAACAAAATGAATTGTGATACATTGGCAACGTTGTTTACGCCCCATCTGATGTGCCCGAGGAAATTATCACCAGAAGCACTGCACGTGAATTCACAGAATTTATCTGGATTGGTGGCCTTCATGATTCGAAAGGGAAAAGAGTTGTTTGAAATTCCACCGAAATTGGCGACTGATATCAGGGCTTATTGGGTCGATCAGGAGAGGAGATTGCTGAGTCCAAATAAAAATGATGTGAGTTTGCAATTGTTTTTAGGCGTGCAAACATTTATCCCAGTGATTTCAAGGGGTTTTGGAGAAAAAGAACCAAAATACCTCGAATTTTCATTGTGAAATTTATCCACTATGGAGATGAACCCGAATATTCATCCATTTATCCAAATTTCCTTGATTCCTATTAGTTTTCGTGGAATCATTGACCTGACATTCAGTTTCCATGGACTTTACCATTAACTTGTGAATTTGCAATTACGAAATTTTGAAAAATTTCAGTGGAACTTTCACTCGATAAAAAAAAACAAAGATGCGTATTCGAACAACATTAATTGTTTACTTGTTCGCTAATGAATCGACGAAATTTAATCATTGTTCTCAGATGTAGGGATTAATTAATTAAAATTTAATTGGTGTATTAATTTTTAGAATTTTCGATTTTTTTTAAAATCAGTTCGATGGCAACTTGAAAATAGTTCTGAATCCACAGAATGATGGCTTGAAAGAGTTACTTCGATGACCCTTCGTTTTGATTTATAGAATAATTTTTTAAAAATTCACATTCTTTGAAAACGTGAATTCCGGAAATATCTATCGGATTTTAAAGATAATATAGACAGCATTATTATTGCATTTGATTTATAAAAGAATTCTCAAGAAATCTCACACAGTTGATTAAAGAAGAAGTATAATTCAATGAACAAAATAATATAAAACTATAAATGAAGCTATTGCTAATTCATTAGCAGAAATAGCTATCCCATTAAAAAAAACCATTATTATATTTTACCGAAAAGAATTATTATCATTTCAAATAATAGATTTTTCAGTTTTATAATTATTCCATTTCATTATTATTATTACTATTATTATTATTCGTATAATTAATACTATTACATGTATATGTATACTACTGCATATCGCCACCTTCCAATGGTAAATAATATTAAAAACTATTATTATATTTTACTGAAAAGAATTATTGCAGAAGTAATTTTTCTATTTTATGAGAAATAATCGTCTCCTATTCTCATTTCAGCTGAATGAATCAATCTCAGATGCAACAGGAACAGCCCACACAGTCTTCAGCTTCGTCGATCACAAATTAACAGCGAAAGCCAACTCAACCGAAGACACCCAAGCTGCGTTAGCCCAACTGTACGCCCATATCCAGGCGATGCCAGAGTCTGCGAAGAAGCGTCGCCTGGTGAAACAGTTCAACAAAGAAAATGGCCAGGGCACCCCAAGACACGTAAAGCAAGTGCGAACGAAGAGCTTAGGAGACTCTATAAAGAAACACATCTTCCAGAAGAAATTACTAGGGCATAAGAAGCTGGTGGAGATAAATATTGGGTTTAACATGAGCAAATCCAGCAGCGAAGAGAACATTCTATCATCTGTAAGTACTATTTTTAAATTTATGAACTGTGGGAAATTGCAAATTGATTCTTCTACTCGAATATGCTCTTTATTTTTCTATTTGTTTATTTATTGTTTGTATACTGCCTGTAGTGCGTGGCAACATTTGGCAGGAGAGGACCCAGAATATACATGAAGTAATGCTTAATAAACATGAGTTCAAGTACGAAAAAATGTCATAGAAAAGTCTAGTGAATTCACTAGAAAATTTCATTGTATTGAACTTTTAATTATTTTTGGCCGATTTAAAATTCTAAAAGTCCGCAGATTATTTGCTCTCCTAAGCGATTTATGGTATTGAGATATTTTCTATAGAAATTCCTTCCTTTTTTGTTTGATTTTTTTGTAAAAGAAAGAAAAATCGAGCGGAAAAAATTTAGAAAATTCCTGTCGAGGAATTCCTACCGAAATTTTCTCAAAAGAAAAAATTCTATAAAAACACTAAATTGTACTGATTTTTTCTTTAGAATAATTTTTATCGTATATTTTCAGTAGAAATCCCATAAAATTTTCTGTCGAATTCTCCAAGTTTTTCTTGAAATTTTCCCTGCGTTTTTGTAAGAAAGAAAAATATAAAAAAGAAGCCCATTAGTTTCTGCATTCACACAACAACAAATAATTCTCTCATTTTCTTTTGCTTCTAACAATGCAATGCACGAGAATGTGACTAATTTCCTCGTCTCGCATGTTGAAACAGACTCACAAAGAATTGGCGTTGCCATCGAAGACGTTGTTCAGCAAATCTGATGACGAGTTGAGTTCAGAGAGTTTTACAATTGACAACGATAATCTCATGCACTCGAAGCACATGAGCAGCAGCACCGGAAGCCTGGATAAAACGAATAACTCAAGAACAACTAAAACGAAGTGGAAGGACTTTGTTAAAATGAGGGAGGCCCCTGACGATGCTGAGAGTGACAAGACATCGAACGAGAGACTGGAGAGCTCCATCAAAGCCTCAAGGAGTTTGACAACAATCAGCGAGAATGGAAAGACAGAGGAGTTGTCAGAGATTCGAGTGGTCGTGGACGACAGAAAGGTGCGTCGGTACAACTCTGAGCCCTGTGACATGCACAGTAATTTTGAGGTGGAGAGTGAGCAGTCGGAAGCCAACAGCACTGACCCAATAATATCGACGCTCCAGCGACCGAAAATAGAATTGGTTTTCACTCCCAAGAATTCGGAGTTGAAGGGGCCTTCGGCTGGTGAGAAAGGCCCAGGGAGTCGCACCTCACCAGTCGTCAAGTACAAGTTTTGGAATTGTCATTCGGCTCACACGTCCACACCTGCTGATATTCTCAGGCGAAATTTGGCGAATGGAGAGGCCTGCGGGGTGACGCCAATCAAGAAGAATGACAAGAGCATGAGTCCTATTACTAAGAGCACTGCTAAAATGCCGAGATCTATGCAGGTATGCATGATTGTACTAACATTCGTTGAGGGAATCTGTCGCAGAGAGACAGTTATATCACAGGAAAATTTTAATTCGATTGGAATATTTTATTCTGGGATAAGTACAGTTCGAAATCATTATAAGATTGAAGAAAAATTACTTGTCTGAAGGGAATATGCTTCAGATGTTGGAAATTTTGTCCTCAGTGCGGTATCTCGTGAAATGGTGACTAGTAATTTTCAGGAGAGTGATGTTGAATTCGATTCAGGGGGAAAAGTAATTAAATTTTGGGTTTCAATGGGAATTATAGGAATTTCGGAATTTTTGAGAAGCAAAAAGACGAGAATTCTCTGAGTTGACTGAATTTTCAATCAATATCAGTAGTTAGATGACAATTAATTCAGTGGAATTTTAACTTACTGGAAATTAGAGAATATTTTTATCTCAATTTTCCTGATTTTCATTATTTTTCAGGGATTAATTGAATGGTTTCTATACCAGAAATTTTCTTCTTTAATGAATGACAGGAAAATTTCCACCTAGAAGATGATTGCATCAACGAGTTGATTTAATTGCATTCCTGGAATGCGCATGAGAATGTTTTCACCTGAATTTTCATGTTTTCCATTAATTTTCGGGGAATAATTAAACTAAAATTTACATTTTCTGTTAAGTTTTCCATAAAATTTTGAAAAGTGCATCTTTTAGTTGAAAAATTTTCATTTCCATGAGATTTTCAGGTGAATAGCAATAATTTACCTTTAAAAATGCATTTATTCTCTTGAAATAAAATAAGACTCGGAGTGAAGTTACATCTGCTTATCACAAGAATGGGAATGTCTTCTTTTTAAACCTAAAATGGGGTCTATTCCAGAAATTTTCTGCCTAGAAGATGATTACATTACCAAATTAATTCAGTGTTGTTCCCTCGAATGAACACAAGAATGTTTTCACCTGATTTTTTCGAATTTCCATTAATTTTCAGGGAATAATGAACCTAAAATGTACACTTTCGATCGATTTTCCCATAAAGTTTAGTATTTTCAATCATAAAAGTCCTTGAAATTCATCCCTTCAAATACAATATGCATTTGTAAATTATTCTACAGGAGACAATGATGACTCCTCGATCGAGGAAGCCAGTGATGATGATCTCAGGCTCGAACCTGTGCAATCTGGCGGCAATGGATGAGGCCCCCCAGAATCTCCAAATCGTGGACATCGACATCGACGATCACAGCTACGTATCAAGCCCTGAGAACGCATCAAGAACGCAACTAGAGAGCTACCACGAAAACAAGGAGAACTACCAACGTCCCCCGTACCGTGGTCGAAACTTCGTCACCTCCATCGAGGACGACCACGCCCATCATAAGAGCACAATGTCCATAACCAGTACATTCAGGGAATACCTGCTGTCGAGAAGTGTTCTAACAGCGAGTCCTGTGGATCTCAGTTTTACATCTCGAACAGGAGATTTCGAGCAATCAGAGTCAGATTTGAATATTCTGAATGAAGAGGGTCTATCTGATAGCCTCCTTCACTGTCTCGATGGGAATAATCCAGGCTCCGATACCTCTGGAATCGCCTCGAGCAGTGGCAACAGTGGCAACAACTCTGATGATAAATTTGAGGATGGGAGCACCACAGGGCCGAGAAAACGAGGTACAAGTTTACAACGTAATGACTCGAAGCGATCTGTCAGAGGCGTACAGAGAGATGAAAGAAGGCATCAGTCTGCCATGCAGAAGCAACTCAGTGAGTCGACTCTGAATTCAATCAAATTGAAGGACACCTTCCAAGAGACATCATTCTAATGAAGAAAATTGTGAATTCCATTTTTTATACGTCGATATCTAAGTGAAACAGAAGCAATTTATAATGAATAATCATGACTTTTCCACAATAAATATTTTCTCGTATGTTAAAGATCCTCAATTTTTATTTTTCACTTGCTCGTTCTTGTTTTGATCCGCTCTACTCCAGTAAGTCATCTTGATTCACAGATAATTTTTTAGTCTTACAGTTGAGTGAATCATCACTTGAATATCAACAATTAACTTCTTCGTTCATTACTATATGATTTTTTTACTGTTTGAAAATATTTATATCGGGATTATTTCACGTTATGGGAATTGGGGGGGATATGAATGGGGTTCACTGATCACAGTCGTGGGTCAGAACATATCGTCGTGTCCAAGATCTGGAATATAAGAGAGCCCTCTCTCCTTCAGGGCTTTACTCTGCAGGCGATCTTGGTCTTGTTTCGACTCCTGCTCTCTCCTCTGTGCGTCCAAGATATCGTCGACTGATACTTCTGACAGTGGGAGATCTTTTTCCCTGTCCCTATCCTGAAATCATCATTTTTGTCAGATATTCAAGGTAAAATTATGAGAAACATGTTGTCAAAGAATTTTTATTTGCACTCAAAAAAATCACACATTGAAAAATAATAAAAAAATTTAACACATTGTGCTGAACATTTTAAGAGAGTCTTGAGATGAAAAACTTGTCGCAAAAACAGACTGAGTTGTTCCAAAAAATAAAGTTTTTGAGGGCTTTCCACTTCGTATAAACAATTTTATTTGGAAATGGCTTAGGTTGAAGGAGAGTCGCTTGCACACCCAAAGAAATGTTCTATTTGAATTAAATTAACTTATTTGGCACGCATGAAAAAATTTAATAGAAAGATTAACGCTTTCTCCAAGAAATTCCATTGAATTTCTATTGAAACTCTATAAGAATTCTCTTGAAATTTTATTATAATTCTACGAAGAAATTCCCTTTTTTGCGTCATTTCTATAGAAGATTATAAAACTTTACCGTGTTATTTTATTAAAACATATTTGATGGAGAAATGTCAATAGATTTTGATTTTTCTATAGAAAAATTCTTGAATGTAAATTTTTCAAGTTTTGTCCGCGGTATTTTTAGCTGTTTTTTATAAGGAAATTCAAGAAAAGAACTTGGAAAAGTCATGCCCAAGAAGATTACAAAAAAAATCCAAACAGACTAACTTTAAATAGAACGAAAAAGTTGAATAGAAGAAAGTTAAATAGAGAAATGAATATTTATAGACATAAACATCCAAATTTCATTATTTTTTTGAGACCAAAATCTAAAAAAATACGAACAAGTTCCCAATGGTGCAGCACTCAGATGTTTCTCATCATTCTCAAAATTTCCTCATTATTTTGACTTCTCACACGAAACACCGCGATTTCCAACAAAATATCATTGAAATGAATAGAAAAATGTAGAATAGACAGTGATATCTGATTCAGATGCGTAATTTCTTCGGGTGCACCCACTCCAGATGGAATTTTGTAAATTACAACTTACTATTTCACCTAACAATACGACATTTTCACCTCTGACAATAAATACACCCCTGGGTATATCACCGTACTCTTTTCCCACGTGAATTCTCTCGATAGTTCTGTGTAAAACGAGATTTGCAAATTGATCAACGCTCCGTAAGTATCCAATCAACGTTCGTCCATCCCTCAGCAGAACCATCAACTTTTCTGAAGAAAGAAGATGACCGAGATGTTGAATTATGCTCAAACAGCAGAGGAAAGACTTTCTGCTAGAAATTTCTGTTGAACTTCTGTTGAAATAACGCGAACGAAAGCTTTGGAATTTCACGCTTTGTTCACAGAAATGTTGAATAGAAAATAGTTTATTTTACAGAAAATCAATAGATTTTAGAATTTCTATACCTCCGTACATCATTCTCTTGAGATATTTACTACTAAAAAAAATTCTTTGGCATAAAATTTCTTACTTTCGTTTACAGCAGTTTTCCCTTTTCTCATAAAAGAATTTGAATAAAAAAAAATAGAGCCGAGGAATTTCTATAGAAAATCGTAGTATAAAATAAATTACATAAAGAGTTCAAAATTTAATGTTTTTTAAAATAATTTCTATCAACATTTCCATTCAAAAAACGCATAAAAAAAGCTTTGAAATTTCACGTTTTGTTTATCTAAATGTTTAATAAAAAATACTTTACACAGAAAATAAATAGATTTTAGAATTTCTATATTTCCATACATTATTTTCTTGAGATATTTTCTATAGAAAAAAAATTCTTTGGCATAAAATTCCTTACTTTCGTTTACAGTAGTTTTCCCTTTGCTCATCAAAGAATCAAATTCGTGAAGCCCATTCGTAAAAAACGTGAAGCCCAAAAATGCTTATAGAAAAAAATGCTACAGAATAAGTTACATAAAAAATTCAAAATCAATTATTTTTTAAAACATTTTCTATTGAAAATTTCCATTAAAATAACACGTAGAAAATCTAATTTCTCGATTAAATCTGCGAAGGCCTAATCAAATTTTCAATAAAAGTTCAATCCTTTTTGAAGACTGAAAATCGTTCCCTCAAGTTGAGGAAGGTGTTAATAATTTTTTATTCAAATTAGGCTGATGAAACCCAATTTGAATAGGAGTTCAAGAGAAATTCCTGACGAATTCGCCAGGTGTTTCTACAGAATTTTTTCCTGAGACAAATTGATAGAACGTACTGTCAAGTTCGTCGAGAAGCGATGCTGTTCCTGGCACAACGTCCATCTCTGCAGTATCCTTGATGTTGTCACAATCCTCACGGACAATTAGAACATTCTCATTCAACACAGTGACCCGGTGGCATCAGATAGAGGTTAAACTCGCGAGAACGACAAGTGATACTCCGAAAATATTGCGAATACGATTTTTTTCTCTATCAACAATTGATCCGTCACTGAATAAAACAAACTATTTCGGGGGAACGAACGGTTTATTGTTTTAGTTTCGCTTCCATGTGATATTCACACGATTCACCGACGGTAATTCCAGCACTGATGTTCGTAAATAGCATTGTAGTGTGATCTGTGGGCAACAACAGGGAATTGAAAATTGAAATGGACAAACCTGTGGGCTCTAATGGTAAAGGCATACTGGGGGCAAAAAACATTTGCTAATTAGTACTTTTTTTAAAATAAATTTTTGAAAAATCACCTTTGAAAAAAAAGGCGTTATCCCCTCTATTTCATTATTTCCAAAAAATTTTACCACCAATCGATAGCAAATGGTTTGAAGATTTTTGCGAGTTAAGAAAAAATCGTCAATGCAATCCTATTATTGTGTAAATTAACAATTCCAATTTCAACTGAAAACCAGAGTTGATGACCAGAGTTTGTAACAGAGATGTCAGACAAGATATGAATGTTTTTTTTGGCTCAAATGAAAGAGCGGGTCGAGAAATGGCGTGCAGAAGTCTTTAAAGATGACAAATGTCTCTAAAGATGATGTCTGTTTTCAATTGAAAAGCGCAATTGTGACAACATTGTCCAGTGGGGTCTAGGAGTCTCCCCTGGTTCAAAACCATCTTTAGAGGCCCTAGCACGCCATTTCTCGACCCGCTCTTTCATTTGAGACCAAAAAAAAATTCATATTTTGTCTGACATGTCTGCTACAAACTCGGGTCTTCAACTCGGGCCTTCAATAGACCTTTTCATTCTGAGAGTCACTAGATTTGCGGACACTTTTTTCCCATGTTAATTCCCCTAGGATTTACGGATACTTTATCGAATTTACATATAAATCATGGTTTTTGAGCGCCCAAGTGTATATCATTGTAAAGTTCAATATTTATCAGAATTTTCCATGGTTTTTTCGGAGATTTTTTCGTTGAATGAACGAAATAAATATTTCCCCTAGATTTCCAAAATGAAAAGGTCTATTGAAAGCTAATTGATCGGATCTGATCTATTATCTCTGCTGATCTAGAGTAGAGAGATGCGTCGACTAGCGACACCTTCACCCTCTAACCGAACAGGCCCCAGTGGGTAAGATAGGGAACGAGAGCTCTATGCATTATACCTCTGCCTCTGCCACTGAAAGGAGGCTTTGGCGTTCGTTCCGTCTATTTTCAGTGAAAAAAGGTAGTAATCCGGGAAAATAATTAATAATAATGCCATAATCAGTTAATTATGATGGCGAGGGATGATTTCATCAAGAAATCAGACTTTATTATCGCTTATTATGAAGCCTGAAGGTTTAAAAAGGGCAATGCCAAAATTTGCCATTGCGCAACTTCTCCGCGCACATTCATCATGGCGGCCGGCTACTGGCAGAGAATGGGTGGCTTGGCGTTCGTCCGCAGATTTTCGGTGAGAAAAGGGATAAAACCGGAAAAATGAATACTAATCATGCAATAATCAGTTGAAATTGATGGCGAGGAATGATTTTATCAAGAAATCAGACTTTATTATCGCTTATTATGAAGCCTGAACGTCTAAAAAGTACAATGCCAAAATTTGCCACTGCGCAACTTCTCCACGCACATTCATCATGGCGGCCGGCTACGGGCAGAGAGTGGGTGCTTTGGCGTTCCTCCGCGAATTTTCGGTGAGAAAAGGCATAAAGCCGGGAAAATGAATACTAATCATGCAATAATCAGTTGATATTGATGGCGAGGAATGATTTTATCAAGAAATCAGACTTTATTATCGCTTATTATGAAGCCTGAACGTCTAAAAAGTACAATGCCAAAATTTGCCACTGCGCAACTTCTCCACGCACATTCATCATGGCGGCCGGCTACGGGCAGAGAGTGGGTGCTTTGGCGTTCCTCCGCGAATTTTCGGTGAGAAAAGGCATAAAGCCGGGAAAATGAATACTAATCATGCAATAATCAGTTGATATTGATGGCGAGGAATGATTTTATCAAGAAATCAGACTTTATTATCGCTTATTATGAAGCCTGAACGTCTAAAAAGTACAATGCCAAAATTTGCCACTGCGCAACTTCTCCACGCACATTCATCATGGCGGCCGGCTACGGGCAGAGAGTGGGTGCTTTGGCGTTCCTCCGCGAATTTTCGGTGAGAAAAGGCATAAAGCCGGGAAAATGAATACTAATCATGCAATAATCAGTTGATATTGATGGCGAGGAATGATTTTATCAAGAAATCAGACTTTATTATCGCTTATTATGAAGCCTGAACGTCTAAAAAGTACAATGCCAAAATTTGCCACTGCGCAACTTCTCCACGCACATTCATCATGGCGGCCGGCTACGGGCAGAGAGTGGGTGCTTTGGCGTTCCTCCGCGAATTTTCGGTGAGAAAAGGCATAAAGCCGGGAAAATGAATACTAATCATGCAATAATCAGTTAATATTGCTGGCGAGGAGTGATTTTTTAAAGAAATTGGACTTTATTGAACTACATATTACAAAACCTAGACATCTAACGAGTCAACGCCAAATATCGCCAGTGCGCAACTTCTCTACGCACATCCATCATGGCGACCGGCCATTGGTACTGAGCGGGGGGCTTTGACGCGTTTACCCAATGAATTCTAAAGGAAAAAGAGAATAAAACTCTGGAATGGAACATGGACAATTGAATAATGAGTTGACAATGATGGAGAGTAACGATTTTATGGTGAACTTTGGATTTATTGTGATGAATTACGAGTGCTATAGGACAAAAACGACATTTCTATGGATCGACATAATTGTGATGTCGCAAGATGACGCCTGCCGTGTAATTCTGGACAAAGTGACAATGTTTGGTGTTTTAATGAGTCTATTGACTTCCTAATAAATTAAAAATTCAATTCAAAAGTGAAATGGTTGTGGAATGGAGGACTCAGTGGATTTTATCAGTGAATTTGTGGTTATGAAAAGTTTCAAAGTACTTTGGGGAGTTCCGTATTGCCGATGTGTTGATAAAATACGCGAGATGGGGACCGGTGTGTTATTAAATCGGTGGCGAATGTTTTTTTGTTCGGGTAAATATTCGGAGTATTTGATTTAAATTCGAAAAATCGCGAGTGAAGTGTGGAAAAGTGATGGAGAATTAAGTGAAAAGTAGAATTGTGGGAGTAGGAGGTAGTATATGCCAAGCTGCCGGGTGTTTCAACGACCGGTGAGTCCCTCAAAATATTAATTTCTTTATTCTTTGATTGTTTGATGTCGCTGGTTGATAACTTTGAGAGTAGGGGAAAGTAAAATATTAAAACACAGAAGCCTCTTCAGATTTTAAAGGAAGGCTACCGAGACATAAATTAAGAAATTTCGATGATTATTTAAACTTTCGAAAAATCTCATTAAAAGCTATAAAAAACGTTATTATGAAAATTCCGGTATCTCCCTTAGATTCGGAGATATTCTTCGAAAACTCAGCTAAGAGCTGAATCGGCTGAAACCGTTTTACCGCCCATTCGCTACTAAATTATGTGACTTATATTTTGCGATAAATTCCACACGAGAAATGTTTAAAAAAAGAGTTTTTCAAAAGAAATATAGCCTGGATGACATTCCTCCCGAAAATATCTAAAACTGATAATTGATAATTACAGCTAAAAACCTGTTTCAACAAAGCACGTCAGTCCCTTGAATCCAATTAAATACCGGAATAACTCATTCAAGAATCTAGAGATTGAATCGATAATTTAAATGCTGTTGTTAAGAAGACAGTAAACAAACAAGCCCCTTGACATTACTTGCTCTCGTGTAAGTACCCGAAATTCAATGCAGTTGACAATTTCTTTCATTGCCATTGCAATTACCGAATCATCTTCGTCCGGAGAAAACAGACTCGTGAAATAATTTTCGTTATGGCGACTCCTCTCCTGCAGAGTAGTCTTTTACGGATTGAAAACCGATGTAATAAGTAACGGACATTACATCACTGATAACGATAATAATTTTCTTCTCGGCGCACAGTGACTTTTCACCATTCGCCCGCGAGTTAAAAATTTGTCCCTCCCCTCCTAATTGAAATTAGGGGATGAAAAAACGGCAGTTCGACGGAGAATTAAATTCCCCACCATTAAACCCTCTTTCATCCCTTAATCTCTGTAACAAAAAAATAAAAACTGCCATGAAAGTCATGGGCCAGTAAGAAAAATAATTGTTTCGTGGCGCACACTGACTTTTCACCATTCGCCCGCGAATTAAAAATTCACCTCTCCCCTCCTAATTGAGATTAAGGGATGAAAAAAGGGCAGTTCGATTAAAAATTCACTTCTCCGATGGACGACTCAGAATTGCGTTTTTCCACTTCCTACGCCCTATACAAGATGAATTAAATTAATTTTTTTGCGATTTCGTTTTTCACGATTATCTCGGAAACTATGCGAGATAGAGCCTTGAAACCTATTCCATTCGATTCCTGAGGAAATTTGGGTCCCCTATAGGCAGATGGACGGCTCAGAATTGCGTTTTTCCACTTCCTACGCCCTATACAAGATGAATTAAATTAATTTTTTTGGTGATTTCGTTTTTCGCGATTATCGCGGAAACTATGAGAGATAGAACCTTAAAACCAAATTTGGGTTCCCTATAGGCAGATGGACGGCTCAGAATTGCGTTTTTCCACTTCCTACGCCCTATACAAGATGAATTAAATTAATTTTTTTGGTGATTTCGTTTTTCGCGATTATCGCGGAAACTATGAGAGATAGAGCCTTAAAACCAAATTTGGGTTCCCTATAGAAAGGTGGACGACTCAGAATTGCGGTTTTCCACTTCCTACACCCTATACAAGGTGAATTAAATTAATTTTTTTGGCACTTTCGTTTTTCGCGATTATCTCGGAAACTATGAGAGATAGAGCCTTAAAACCAAATTTGGGTTCCCTATAGAAAGGTGGACGACTCAGAATTGCGGTTTTCCACTTCCTACACCCTATACAAGGTGAATTAAATTAATTTTTTTGGCACTTTCGTTTTTCGCGATTATCTCGGAAACTATGAGAGATAGAGCCTTAAAACCAAATTTGGGTTCCCTATAGAAAGGTGGACGACTCAGAATTGCGGTTTTCCACTTCCTACACCCTATACAAGGTGAATTAAATTAATTTTTTTGGCACTTTCGT